TTAATATCGGGCCGGCTCTTCGGTTGTAGTGATCTTTTCGATTCGACGCCGCCCGAGAAGAGGTCCCCCCAGTACTCGTGGCCCTTTTGGACGACGGCTGTCGCAAAGGTGGCGTTCTGGTACGTCTCGCCGATGATGGGGATAACGTCGCCGCCGCGGGCGACTTTGTAGTAGGTGAACCAGTCGCGGAAGACCTGGATGGTGCCTGGGCGGTATTTCTCGACGTCGAGGTAGTCTGCGGCGCGTTAGACCGACTGCCAGAACGGGGCTGGCTTGGTGACTTACTGTCAACGAGGGGCGCAATGGGGTCATTGACGTCGATGGCGAGCATCTTCCAGTCCGTCTCGCCCCCGTCGTTGGGCGCAAGACCACCGAGGAGCTTCACCTGCTTGACTTGTCCGACATAACCGATACTGCCTCGTCAGTACACTACCGTAGCATTGGTGAAGGAGCGATAGGACGTACTCGAGGCCAATGTCAAATAGATCAATGGGGTCATTATCACCCTTCTCGCCCGTGAATTCATGCTGGAAATTCGGCGACTCCCACGTCTGGGGGATGGATCCATACAGAAATGGATACGTCTTGTGCGGCCACACACTCTCAACGAAGCGCGGCGCGCCGTTGCGCTCGTCGTGGAAGATGGGGTTCAGGGGTTCCTGGCGGCGAATCTCAATCTTGGCGTCTTCCCAGCGCGGAATCTCGACGACAAAGTTGACAACCTGCTTATTGTCCTCGTCCGGGTACAAGGGGACGTCGTGCCAGAAGGAGATGGGATGGCCGTCTTTCTCGAGCCATACGCGCCAATCCTGATGAAACGTCAGTATCGTTCTATCGCAGACGAGGAGAAGAACAGCAAGAGGAGAGAACGCACAAGTGTGTTGCGTCCACCGACCGTCCGCAGAGAGAGGGCATCGTAGTCAAACGTGCCATTGTCGCGACGCTGAATCGTACCGGCAACAGCAAGGGCCGGCAGCAAGGCCTGGGCGAGGAACCTGGAGACCATTTTGTCTGCGATTGGTCCTGTCTTCGAACGCGAGGCCGTCAAGACACCCTGAAAAGAAGCGAATCGACACAGGACCATCAGCCTTATAGCCACCGCAACATCCCAAGCCAAGATCCCACCCCCGGCGTCATCCCGCACCTCGTGCCTGTGGCGATCACCTCTCAACGACGCCATGGCACGCTGGAGATGAGCGCTGACCCAAACCTCCGCCCACCATCCATGGTACCTGCAGGCGTCGATCAATCAATCGCGGCCGTGGTTGAATGGCAAGCCCATGACGCAGCACGTGTGTGCTGTCAACCGTCGAACATCGGTCGGCCGTTCGTCGAGGGGCCCGGAGCGCCAAGGCACTAAGGCCACTGAGCTTGCTGGGGAATCGGAGCACCGGCGCGTCCAATCGACGCCCCTTTGTCGTGCACGTGGGCGTCGCTCATGGAAGCTGTTGATGCGATGCAACGCTGCTGCGTGACACTCGCTGAGGAGTGTGCCTCGAGCCAGCTGAGTAGACGAGCGACCCGCCAGCGAGTTTCCCAAGCATATAAAAGGCAGACTCCGACCTTCGGTAGAAGTAGGAGAACGGGTCGCGTCAGGTTCTGCGGCTGTACGATGCACTTGCGATGACTGTGTGACTCTCGATAAGATGCCACGCTATCTAGTGTAAAGTGGAGATAATTGCAGCAAGTTGGTATTTCGGTGCCATTTCACTGAGCGAATGGAATCAGGCACCATGGTGACTCTTGACTAGAGAACGGGTGTGGTTAATAAATGCAAGGGCAAAGCTTCAAACCTCCTGTACTCTTAAGCCAATCAATTCGATTGCTTATACTTCAAGCCTGTTGCGGCAGCTTGTCTCTGCTTACCTTACCTTACGTACATATCTGAAATCGCATCTTAGGTACTGAAAGATAACCTAACGAAGGCGAACTACAAGACAAAGTGCATATCAAGAAGTGTTTGAGAGCGAGGGTTAAACTTCAGCCATAATGTATTACCTTGCCGTGGTTAGTGATAACCCTCGCAGCGTTTTCAGCGCCTGCCGAGTTGGAGCACCTTTGGTAGCATCCCTCACAAATCTCCCCGCCTTTCGCATGCATTTCTCTATACGATCATGAATTTTTGCCTATTGAGAGTCAGGTTTTGTAAAAATTGGTCAATGTCTTACCACTATCATTGCAAGCTTGTGTACCTACCTGAGTCTTCTTCGCATGTCTTCGGCTTGTCTACCTCTAACACCTGGAGAACAACCTTCATGCAGATCGTCAATGACCAGGAGGGAATAAGATGAGCCGAGGTTCAATCAGCATAACCCGGCTCTCGTTGGGATCCGCGGAAACGACTTGTAGGACACTTTACCTGAGCTGAGGCCTATCTTTTGCAGCGCTTTCTGCCCCGGAAGCTGGATCATCTCCAAGCTTCACCAAGAGTTCTGCCCGTACTGACCCACTGTTTCATTTCATCAGGGCCCATCAACCTAGAGCTCATTTAGTAGGTATTACATAGCATTCTTGACGCCAGTAGTCCTGCAAGAGCAGCAACGGGAGAGTCGGTTTGATGCGGACTTACCACGCAAGTAAAAGCTTGATCAGGTCGTCTGTGTCGGTAGCTTTGATTGACCTGGGAAGCCTCTGAATGGAGAGATTTTGCACAATGTACTGCTTCTTCTCTCGCCACGCCGTCATGAACGCGTGAGACGAATCGGCTTCCCAAAGATGTTTGGACGCAGTCCACCGGTGTACAGCCGCGAAACGTCCGGGCAGCGGTGTGCCCCCTATTCCCACCGTCTTGAGCATGGCCACGAGACCTATAAACCCATACCCGAGCCAGATAGTTCGTCGCACACACTCAGCGAAGATCCACCTCTCCCAAGACTGCGGTGGCCTGCTCCGTAATACAATCTCTTCAAGCAGCCATAACTCGGCAAGGTTATCGCGGTACGTCTCAAGATCTTCTAGCCACGTCTCCAGAGTCCCCATATCACGCTCTGCTTGCTCTTGCAGGCCTATGTCACCATCGAATACGCGGATTTGCTGGTAAATGAGAAGCGCCTGGGTGCGAGCCAGCTTGTCGAGGGGTGTCGGGTCTGCTGTCTCCAAGCTCGGGGCCTGTGTAGCTTCTTTTTCGTTCCCCTGGCTGTGACGCGGCAGGCGCGTTAGCTCATCAGCGGCCTCGCAGAGCACGCGGATGGCCCAACTTCGGTTGGCGTCAGTACAGTCGGCGTACGTTGTAACGGCTGAGTAGACGGTGAGTATTGCATGCGGGGTGTGGGCGCGATATAGATGGCGATGGAGGAAGGGCGTTTCGCGCCGACGAACGAAAAGGGCAGGAAACTCCTTGAAACTGGCGATGACAGAGCCGACTCGGGAACTTGGCTCGTGAATGCTCCATGGATTGAGTTGTGACTGGAAATGTGAGCCAAAAGCCGTGATGAAGGAAATTCGGTTCAGAAAATGACTGAGAACATACGCAGGCGTCAGATAGAGCCTTTTTCTCGTGAATGAAGTGTTGTAGATTTTCATCTAGCGGTAAAGGTACCCCCGGCTGAGCTGTCTCTGTTCTAGGAAACTCCTGAGTTTGCCGCAGGTGCATACTGGACCCCACGTCATCAACAGACGTTTGGTCGGTAAGGTTGCGAGGGTCGAGATCGGAGTACGAATGGGGTTTACTCGACATTTTGAAGTCGCGGGGTAACCTGTCGCGAACTGCTGAGTTCGAGCGACACGGCCGTGATGAAAGATGTACAGGTGCGCCCGTGGACACTTGTGCGCAGCATTCAACGGCTCCATACTTGAAGTTATGAAGTCCGCTGCCACACACCCACGCTATGAGCTCTGTATTCTTTTATCCGTGTCCTGCAGCCAGGATACCCGTACAGTACATGTACCCTCACCGTTGGTACCCACACTGCCACCATGCCAATAGCGTTACACATGAGCGGGGTAGACTGCCTGTTGAGGCATGAAGTTCGGACTGACGAGCCAAACAAGTGGTGTAAAAGACGGCGAAACTATGGGATTGGACAGACAATGCCGGAGCCGCCACGGTTAAGTTTCGATGCACAGGTTCAAGCGTCACAAGAGTGGAAACAGTGCGTGTTGATTGCATATTGTACGTGGCTTAGTATCGTAAACCCTGTGATGCAATGTAATTTGTGGTCCAAAAAACCAGCGTAGAAACATGTCTCCTTCTTGATGAGCCGTCGACTGTCCACGCAGCATTCCATACAAGAGTAGTAACATCATGCGTGGCCTACACACTGTGCAATTTTCGACCCTCCTATCAGGGCGTGGCGGCCTCGCGCTTGAAGACGAACGAGCTCGTTGCACCGATCAAGTCTCCGTATTCTTCGTACATGGGCTCCAACCCGTGCTCCAGCGTATGACGGACAAATTCCTCAAAAGAAATACCCTGCAAGTCAGGATACAAATCCTTCCCAATCAGGTAGCCAAGATAACGAGCATACTCGGGGGTATTTTCGCCCATGATGTCGTAGGACTTTTGATAGGTGTACTGGAAGTAGTCCATCATCTTCATCTGGTCACCCTTGGTTGTGGCTATGCCCTCTTCGATCTCCTCGGCGGTGCGCTGCGTTCAAGTCATGTCAGATTACACACGTGAAGATGCCCTACCATGAGTCTCCGAGTGTCATACACT